GGGAATGAGAACATGTATTTAGAATTTTTAATTTCCCAGGGGAAAAAAACACCTCTACTTTAATAAATTTAGTTTACCACAATTACGTCTTCCACACCAAGAGAACTTCAGACTTCTGCTGCTTCTTAGCCTTATCTACACTTATGTTTACAGTGAGCTCTTACTAGCAGTAGACAAAAAATACGCCATTTTCAGATATACTGGTACTGTTTCCTAAAATAGGTCCAATTCAAGAGTTAGCTGGGGATGATTATTAAAAACAGATTCTCAGACTCCATTTCAGATCTATTTACAAAAACCTTCAGGAAGAAACCTAGGAGTCTGAACTTTTTAAGCACCTCAGGTAATTTCTATGCTCAAAGTTTATGAAATACTTTACCAAGAGCAACTCATTCCAGGACAGGGCATAAATTAGCGATCCATTAATTGGATCCATTAATCACTTCCTTATTCAATCAACTTCAGCATATATTAACGTCATGCTAGTTAGCATTCCTGAGGGCCTACTGTGTGCTGTATCCTGCATTAAGCACATTATGTATGTTATTTCACATTAATGGTAACTAACCTTTAGGGGTAGATACCAGTTTTATCCCAGTTTTATAAATAGGGGAAACTGAGGCTTTATATAAGTTACCAGAGGTCCCACAGTTTATAAGTGATTGCTGGCTCAAAACCCAAATGTTTGTTGCTACCAACTATACTGTTCAATTCTAGCATCAAGTGAAAAAAAGTAAACACATGGCAACAGTTGAAATGGGAAGTTTAGGTCTTTTATTGACCAGAGGCTTTCCTAATTTCAAATCTTTTGCCTTGGTTAAAGTCAAAAGTAAACTGTAAAATCTAGTTGATCTAACTGCTTGGAAAAAGAGGCAAACTACTCTATCTCCAATGATTATTTATGTGATCCTAAATGGAATAGGGCTACTGACCTAATTTGAGATACTGCTCTTGATTAACCCCTGAATAGTCTGTTCAGTGGCTGGGTTCTTATATTGTTGGGAGAGATTAACCTTTAGAACATTAATCTTAAATTTAAACCACAAGAATGACCATGCAATTGATAGTAATAGTTCAAGTCTCTAAACTATAAACTGGCCTTTGAGGATAAATTCAACATTTTGTTGTAATATTCTTTAAGTATATTCAAATTCACAAAATGAGTTTTTGCAATGACAATTACATTAAAACTCGTATTAAGTTTTATTTATTACTCAAATACCTGCATTGCCATATTTGGGGGGGAAAACTTTGAATGAGTCAATAAATGGATTCATAAGAAAATGTTATAGGGATCTGTTGAACAGTGATGACCACGTCCTATGATATACAAAAATCTACACATAACTTATGGCCTGATACAAACATATGTTCTCTCTATATATTACATCCTAGATAAATGATCACACAAATGTACCAAGAGACACACACAAGAAATATTAATGGCAGTATCATTTGGAATAGCACCTTAAATGTCCAAGAAAATGGGTACATCAATTGTGATATATTCGTATAGTGGAATACTAAATAGCAGTAAAATGTGAACTAGAGCCACATTTATTACCGAGAACAAAAGCTCACAAAATGTTGAACTAAAAAAAGCAAGTTGCAAGTGATTATCTTCAATGTAATACCAATTAGCATTAAAAATGCTTGTTTACAGATACGTAACAAATGCAATAAAAATATAAAGAAATACAGAGTAATATCAAAATCAAATACCAAAGTCATGACAGCTTTGGAGTGGGAAGAGGGGAAAAAGGTGAATAAAGTTGAAGCCATGGGTGTTTCTCTCCTCACATATTTTTGCCATGTTTTATTTAAGAATGGTGGTGCCCAGCCAGGCGTGGCTCAGCGGTTGAGCGTTGACCTAGGATCCAGGCGATTCCCGGTCAGGGCACATGCCCGGATTGCGGGCTGCAGCCGATCAATGACTCTCTCGTCGTTGATGTTTCTATCTCTCTCTCTCCCTCTCCTTGCCTCTCTCTGAAATTAATAAAGATATATTTAAAAAAAAAAAAAGAATGGTGGTAGGTAACTCAGTGATATATATTCTTTATAACTCCGTGTGACTGACATTCAAAAAGACAATCAAATATAGAATTAAGCACACAAAAACTAGTGATGTTTTGAATAATCAAGCTAACAATTACTTTAATCTGAAAACGTGATGCTATCCCCAAAGCTAGTAACTTTAATGATTCAAGATCCCAAACCTTGTACTATTAAGCTGAATCATATGAAGCTTCTGGGTTTGTAGCAGGTGAAAAGTCAAAGATTAACAATTCCATATTGCTCAAACTAGTATTAAAGTTCTCTATATGAAAAGCAAAAAAAAAAAAAAATTGTTCGTTTTTCTCAAGAATTTACAAAAAAATGGTCTACTTAATGGCAAGACTAAGAAAACAGAAATAAAACTGTAGAAGTAGAATGAACCACTTGTCGATGGACAAAAAAAATGAAAATAAACTAGTATATAGAAATTACAAAACTTATAAACACATATGCAGAAAATGTGGTCAAATTACTCTTTGATATAAAATATTACTACTTAATTCTTTCAGAAGTACTTATACATATTAATAAATCCTTAAAAGACCCTTGTTGGGCAAAGCAAGTATTTATACATATAAAAATTGAAGTCCAGAGGAGAAACAGCTTGTCTAAGGTCAAAAAGGCAGTTAGCAGTCAAAACACAGTTAAAACTAAGTCCAGGTCCTGTTCTGCTGCAAAATTAGTCAAAATAACTTAATTAGAAGCTCAACAATAGGAGATTTTTATTCACTTCCATCAGAAAGTATGAAAGGAAGAATTAAGGAAAAAGATCTATGGAGTTCCGTCGTCTTTATTTCCTACCAATTTCAATATAAAGAGTTCTAAACTAAAACCCATTATTTCTGTAATAAAAACTCATTTCTCATAAACATTTGAGGTAGTGATTAAGTTATTAGATTCGCTCATAAAAGCCAAAGCAATTTATAATTTAACTAGAAAACTATAATCTTTCCATAACATGAAAGAAAATATGCACTACATAAACAGTCTGCCAACAGCCTCCTCCCGCTTTCTTAAACTTAAGTGCTGGTGCTTTTAGAAAAAAAGGTTTAAATCAGAATGTTGAAAGAGTTTTGAGAAACATACTGAAGCAAACTTGGAGGCACCTGTACAAGGTTTCAAAGGTAACAGCAATGGGTGTTTTAATGAATAAATAAATATCACTCTTCAAAATCATCATAGAACCAAGATGGGTAATGCAAGACAGGGAGATTTTCCTGAGATAACAGAGGTAGAAACTGAAAGCGGTTAGAAAAGACAAGTATGAGAACTACGGTAGAGGGAGTAACAGGGACACTTTACACCGGGAGGTGGAAGAAACAGTGCAGCACTATATAGTAACGGCCCCACAGGGAAGTATGAACAGCCTCCCTCCTCAAGCTGCAAGGCTGCTGTGCAGCTACATGAGGGAAACCAGAGAAATGGGGATGAGATGGGGGAAGGAAGGTGGAGGGATTATTAGGTCATCTGGGTGGTTTTTACATGTCAGGCATTTTTAACCCAAGAAATATGCATACTGAAATCTACCTATGCCTACAATTGTCCTATATATTGTCATTTTTGCTTCCTTCTGATTAGGAAAGATGACATGTTTACCCAAATCTCCTTCTCAGTCAATTATAAATGGCACCCCGGGTGGTCACAATCACCTAATGTCAGATGCCTCTGGTTAGCCTGTGCACCTCAGCAGGGCCCACTATGAGAAACACAGCTGCCAGGACACATGCACATTACATTAGAGAAGGGGAAGGGGAGGGAGACCAACCTGCCTCCGCATTCAGCTCCTCTAGAAGCCCGCTGGTCCTCCAGGTAGCTCTTGTGTCCTGGCCTCCTACAGAATTACTGTGCTCTTGAACTACTGCAGCCGCCAATAAAGTGTTCACATTTACCACTTCTGGTTCAGAGCTGGTGTCAGACATATCATAATAAGCTACAATTGGAGGTCCATCTAGGGAGGAAAGAAAATGTATACTTGTATCTAACTTGTGGGGTGAAAAATGCTTCTGAAACTAAGAGCCCTCTAAATGCCAGTTGCCTTTATCTTATTACTCCAGCGGATCAGAAAAGCTGCACTTTTACATCTAATATTTTGTACATGACGTGAAAGTGAAAAAGATAACCCAAGCTTACAAAGATGAGGGACACATTTGGGAAGGAGGAAAAGGAGTGTTATGAAGAACAGAAGACAAGACTATACTGAACAACGTTACACTGAACTGACATCATACTCTCAAAGAGCAAAAGATTAAGAAAAAAGGGAAGACTCCACAGAGAAAATGAAACTGATTTTTAAAGGAAAAAACAGATGCAAACTATTAAAATTCAATTTATATTTTTAAAGAGAATTAATCTAGTTCTTTCTCTCAGTAGCTAACACTAAAATTCCCCAGTAGATTCAAAGAAAATCAAATATGTATTTTCCTACTTTCAAAAGAAATAAGATCAACTAACACTAAGAGCTCTACCTGACTTATTTCCGGGGAAGCCCTTTTATAATATCAGGGATGTTGTGCATTTTACAACATTGTACAAAAAGCTAATACAAAATCTTCAGAATTTTGCTTAGGATGTCTTATGAGGGATATTTATATTTTCTTCTCCCTGAGAAAGACAACCAGCTCACACCCCAAGGAAATGATATGCAATCTTACAGGTTATTTTAGAGGAAGATAATAAAGTTCTTACTGGAAAAATAAGAGATCCCTTCTACCTCCAAATCACCCTAACCAGATAAAAAAGGCAGCTCAGTTCCAAAGTAATTACACTTCAACGACTCATGCTAAAATAACTCAATATCATGCTTGTAGAATAGATGCATGCTTTAAAATGCTAATGTTACCTTTTTTCTAATATAACAGCAAAAAGCAAAATTTTTCATTCAAGTATGGAAACACATCCCTTACTACTACCTTCAATTTATAAGAAAGTAGAAAGAATGCTGTTTCTCACCTCCCCCCCAACCAACAACTATTTGTGAAGTGCAGGCAAATCATATATTTCCACAAAGATTTTTTAATATCATCCAACAAATTAACATAAACACATCTATTTTTTGAGACTCTTGACTATAAAGGAATACATATGCCAATGAATCATTAAACTAAAACACAATGAAAGATTACTGCTTTAATACAAACATCCATTGTGTAAACTGTCACTGAACAAAACATGGAACACACTTGGGGTATATATTTACCCCCTTGAAACTAAGTTTCCAAACCATAGATTTGTGTAGCAACATTAAAAAAAAAAGACTAAACATAAAGGCAAATGAGTTGGTTAAGGGCCACTATATAAAGAACAGACATGTCACAATATGAAATTCTGATGATCATAACAATTTATTCACTACTTTAAAATAATTTCTAATTCCCCCAAAAGGGTAAATCAAGTTCACAAAATTCAACAGTATGGCATCAGTATCAGTTGGCAACGGATTTTTAGTTCAAATAGCAAAAAAGTGGCTCATGTTTGAAGTTTTCCTTTTCTAAAACAGAAAAGAAAGCTGTATCATTTATGGAGTTCTCGTCAGAGTCCAAAATGATTATTATGGAATAAAGATACTATATGATGTTCAAATACTTGAGTGCAGAAGATATGAAGGTCAAGTACAATATTGACTATTTGACCAAATGTGCTATTTTTAAAAGGGCTTTATTTTTTAAGTGTTTGTGTTTATAAAAAATTAGTTATTTTAAAATTTTTATCACTAATACCATTCACAGCGACTTGCCCCACATCTCCCACCACAATCACCAAATTGAGGCAACAGGTCAACAGTCAAGTCAAAATTGTACCACTCCTACATGTATAATCATGCAAAAAAGTATTAAGTATATATGTACATGCAGAGTGATATCACCTACCCATGGAAATAACTTGTCTGAAAGTCTTCATCAGTAGGAAATATAAGTATAAGCTTGTTATCTGGCTTCATTCTTGCATCTTCAATATTTCCAAACAGCACACCTTATAGCTTAGCTTAAATTTGGTACTCATTATAAACAAAGACAGTAATATTTTCATATTTTAATTACACTTAACAGTTAAAACAAATGATTATCATTTCTAGGATGTTCAAATGATGACAAGTCAATACTATACAAACTTTAGTAAATAGTTGTCTTTCCGACTTTGTCTTTCAACAGAAAACCACAATTAAGGATCTTGTGTTCCAAGGTCATCTTACACTTATCATTAGCAAATCAAGATTAACTAAGAGATGGATGATGCACTTAGCATCGGGGTTTGGGCTTTAAACCACTAAATGACTACTAGCTAACTTATGGTGACAAAGTGTAATACTCTCTTAAAACATGACTCTTGCTGCACAGAATTAGGAAACAGGTAAGAATCTGTAGTGATATTATCTGCCTTTTGAAAGAAGCATCTCTTGAAGAAAAAAATCAAACCACTGAGGAGCTAGGAAAACTCAGTCATTATTATCAGAAAAAGTGACCTATGATTCCAATATGACTCATCGATTTGTTGCAGGACGGAATAAACATGGAGATGCTATCCTTCCTCTCACTTGATTATTCCTCTATGCTGTTAAAACAGTAGCACTGCTAAGATTCTGACTTTCAGAAACATCCAAATAATCACTTCAAATAAAGTTAAACAGGGAAACATTTCCAATTTAAAGTTGTCATTAATGTAAGCACATTCCACGTTATTCGAACTCCACATTCTCCTACCTGCTAACTCTGATCTCTGTTACAATCTTAAGACAAAAATTTACAATAAACTCACTAGTTTTTCTACAATCATTAAAAGCCTCTTTCATATTATAAAGGTAAATTTAACACAGTTAAGAACTATTTGGTCTGTGGTTAATCCAAGTCCTATTTTTCCTCCTGATACTCTGAAATTTTGCTGCTAGTTATAATTACAAGGCAAGAAAATTAAAGGTTGAGCAATCCACCGGCTACATTTTTTTATTTAAGAACATCAACTTATCCATTTTATGCTAGAAATAGGTTTGTACCCTCTCGCTGACCTCCTAGCCTATAAATAGGTTCTAACTTTTCAAATACCAAAATGCAGATGTATCTATGTCATCACACATTTCTGACACAGTGAGGCTTACCCTTTTATGACCTTAAACCTGTAGTACTGTCATCAAATATTTAATTTTACGAATTGGTTCTCTTCTTAATCTCATGGAAACAATTTGAATCACAAAAACAGAAAACAAAATAAAAACCTCATATCCTTTATTACATTTATCCCTGATGAACCTCTTTTTCAAATTTGACAATCAAAAGCATAGAATTTTGAAACTATACAAGGTAATTACATAATTGACTGCTCATTTTACAGATAAGAAATTTGAATCCTAGTTAGATGAAATCAGAATAGATTACAGTTGTTCTTGTTGAGAGAATGAGGGATTTACAGGATGAGACTGGGAGCCACATAAGTACAGATTTTTGGCAGTAAACACATAGCTTGAAGTCCTGCCTGCTACTTTCTAGCTGTATGACTTAATTTCTTCACGGGGTTATGGTGAGAGTTAAAGATATAACACAGAACACAATAGTTCAAATACTGGTCCACTGTCCCACCTGCTATAATTAGCACCTGCCCTACTTCATTATCTTTTTGCTTATCTTTGCATGTAAATTCTGCTATAGCAGGCATTCATGCAAGAAAGCTTTGAGAAAAACCACTGCCTGGGCTGGTGCCTTATATTAATCCAACTTGTTAAGCAATTGCTTTGCTGGAATTAATGAGATCATTGCAAATGTGGCTTTCCTATTCTTATTTCTGTTTCAAGTGAAATGTCAGCTTGGATGTATTCATATAAAAGTGTTTCAAAGCCAAATAGAGATTTTGGATTATTTCATATTTAGCATCATCCTTGCCTACAGAGCCTGTTCACTAACACGACTATTGTCTCCCAGTATGACGTTTAATTAGGTCTAGGAAGCAGGAATTCCTCTACTATCCTCGAGGTACCTGAAAATGTCACTTTTCCTCCTCTCTCTATTGCTAAGTCTTATGCCCCTTTGACTCTCATTTCTATGGCTATAGTAACATACAATAAAGCCCAGGGAAAACACCTTCTCTCCTCCCAACCTCCCCAAATCTCTCTCTGGGAGAGGAAAATGCTATCTTGTTGCTGCCAAAGGATCCCAATACAGGCTCTGCACCCCAGTCAGTAAAGGGCCTAGGCCCAGTGCCATTATCTACATCAAGAGAAAGGAAAGGGGGTGGAAATCACTCAGCCTCAATCCAGATAGTGAGATTTTAAAAAGTTACACCTGAAAGAAGAGTTCTTAGCACTTACCCAGCCAAAGAATCTAAGCAGGAGGACTGTGTGTGGCCAGGTGAGGGGAAGAGGAACAGTTGTATGGGGTAAGGGCTTGAGGGATTAAGAAAAAAGGGCAACCTCAAGAATTGCAGAAGGGAATTTGCATTTTAGGAGAACTTATCCAAGGAAAAACAGCTTTTTCACCACACACCAAAATATTCACCAAGATGAAAATTTATATTTGCAAATGAGAATACTTATGTTGTCTTTTCACTACTATAAAAAATATATATATATATACACATAGAACAATTTGAAACAATAGAAAGCTGTTATTTGCAAAGTATCTCTTAGAAAAGATGAATAATTACATCAACCAGAAAAGAAAAATCTATACAGAAAAGTGCCATCTCTAGAAAACAGCTTTAAACACACAAAAAACTGCATTGTGTGTATTTTCTTCAGAATAACATCATAAAGCAATTTGAGTGAAAAAAGAAAAAGGCCAAGAAGATATGGCTAAATAGAAATGAAATATAGCAATATGCACTGAAATTCTGTTTAGGAGTTAAATTATTTTTAAAATAAAATAATCAATATCTATTCTGTTTTTCCCCCATTATATTCATCTCAATTACTTAAAAATTGATATAAAGTTTCCAAGGCAGAAGGACTATGTCTGTCCTTACATC